CCCAGAGTTGCTCTTTGAGTGAGATGGGCGGTGACTAAATTTGAAATATAAATAAATAAATCTGAACAACTATAGTTAATGAACAAACCACAGTGGGTGAGTTCACAAAATACTGTAGGTCACAAGCTCTGCTTCATAAACCACAATAGCTAGGTCCACACTATACACTAAACCAAAATCAAACAAACTGCTTAATGGCTTAGCTTGTGATCAGACACTCCATTTCCCTTGAAAACTTTCTAACCTGGTAGCTTTTGTTACAGATGATGGTGGCAAATTCCCCAGTTTAATTATGTGTTATGAAAAAAAATGGCTTTTATTAGTCCTCATCCCAGGCTTTATTTGCTGATCTTGGGGGGGAGGGATAAATATACCTCCACCCACATTTTATATCTCTCTTCCCATGTCCCCCTTTGCCTTTCAATGCTAAAGAGCCACAAATACTGTACTTTTAAGGCAGCAATATGTAGAATGCCTTGCAGTCATCGACCTGCATCTGATGAATCCTCGTGTAACTACAGCCAGAACTTTCACTTTTATCAAAAAGTGCAGCTGGTTAGCACAAGCTGAAATAGTGCAAAGGCCCTCACTTGCATTAAATAACCAGGATTGGAGTGGGGCCATCTTGATATTCACTAGTGGTTTCATATAGAACAGTGTTTCTCAACCTGGGCAACTTTAAGATGGGTGGAGTTCTGGGAGTTGAAGTCCACCCATCTTAAAGTTGCCCAGGTTGAGAAACACTGATATTGAAAACTCCCATTATCTTTATAACTGGCCTTTTTCAAGTCCTCATAGCAGTAATCTGATGCTCTGAATACCCACCCTGAAAGACATTGGAGGGCTGGGATCTGAAGATAGACTTTTCGATTGTAGCCCCTTCCCTCTGGGAGAAGTTAAGTGTGCCCCTGCTCTGATGTTTCAGAAGATTTAATTAATTAATTGATTGATTGATTGATTAATATGCCGCCCATCTCCCCCAGAGGGTGACTTTGAGCAGCTCACAATTAAAATCCAAAACAGTCAAAACAGTCAAAATATAAATATTCATATTAAAATTAGCTAAAAAGATGACAAAAACAGTCCTCTTTAGGAGAACATTCCAACTCATTTGACAGCATCCATAGGCTTATTTGTAGCTTTTAATAGTCTTATTTATGAATTCTATGAACGGATTTTATGATTTTATTCATGTTTTCTCTCCTTTGTTGTAAGCTGCCTAGCATTGGAAGAGTAGATGGTATATAAATTTTGGCAAGCATGATGCAGAAAGAAATTCTGACTCGGAAACATTTTCTGCCACTCACTTTGTTGTGAGAAAGGCGGTATCTACATTTGAAATATAAATAAAATAAAATAAATAAGAGATTTCAAGGCCTGGTTGCTACTTTTCTCAGGTTGCTATGGAAGCACTCCTTTCTCTTGCTTTCTCACCCACAGGAATCAAATTGAAGGGATGAAAAAGACATTTCAGGCTGGAAAGGCCACCCGCTTTATTTTTAACACGGACACTGTCTATGTTCTACAAAATGTGACTATCTGGGTAGAAAGTGTGCCTAAGGATGGCCCTCCACAGGTCTCCAAGAATCTTACGCAGCTGATCAAGGAAACCAGTAAGTTAAAAGCCGCCGAAATGGGCACCTCCTACAACACAGAGTATCTCCAGTTCTCCTAATGCTCTTGATTCTGCTTCTGGCCACATTTGGGACAAACAGGAAAGGCAGATGAAGCCATTGTCTGGGCGCTGTTGCTAGGTCAAGGGACCTCAACCTACTGGGGCAAGTTTGGAATTTGGAATTTTGGAAATTCCAGTTGGAATTTTGAGGGGTTGTGGGCATGTTGAGAAAAGAACTGCTGTGGCAGAAGGCTTGTGCCTTCCTCAAACAGTTGCAAACCACACAACTCCAATTTACCAGGAGATAAAACTGTTGAGGTGGCTCCTTATTCACCTTTCAGCTTACCATGGCCTTTTTTCTGGGCAAGGGGTAACACAATTCCAAGAAAAGCAGTGAGATTCCCTTTTCCCCTACTTTCCTTTTCTAGGAATGTCTAGGAGTTGAAAATAAGTAGGATTCTGCTTCTTGTTTTCGAGCCTGCCGATTTCCTGCATAATTATTTGTTCACTGAAAGAATCTGAACCAAATTGAAAAATCAAAAAATCAGGTGAGGGAGGAAAGATGCGAGGAATTAAAAGAAATGTATGAACACTAGGGTTGGGACCCCAAGCTTCAATGGTAGAAACCGAGAGCCAACCCATCTACTTTAAGTGCTGTAGTTTCTCCCAGAAACAAACCTGTGATTTTAATTTGGTGAGGAAGATGAGATTTGTTTGGGGAGTCCTTGGGGTTCTCTGAACTTGGGGTTGTTTTCTTCCAGATGTTTCGATACCCATCTAGATAACATCTTCAGTGCTAGAAGGGAGTGGGGTTTGCTCTCTGTTTATATACAGTAGCTTGCCCTGTCAGTGTTGGTGGGTGTCTTGTGTTTGCTCTCTGTTTATATACAGTAGCTTGCCCTGTCAGTGTTGGTGGGTGTCTTGTGTTTGCTCTCTGTTTATATACAGTAGCTTGCCCTGTCAGTGTTGGTGGGTGTCTTGTTTTTTTCCTTGGTAGTTCCTAGATTAGGTCGTTGTTTACTCCTTGATTGTTTGTCTGGTGTTAATTCCTGCTTATCTGAGTGTTGGCTGTTAGCTGTTGGCGAGGAGATGTTAGGAACTACCCAAGGAAAAAAACAACTCCCCCACCAACACTGACAGGGCAAGCTACTATATATAAGAGAGAGAGCAAATCCCACTCTGTTCTATCACTGAAGATGTTACCTAGTTGAGTAACAAAATGTCTGCAAGAAAACAACCAAGCTCAGAGAATCCCAAGGACTCCACAGTTCAACCCTGAGCTACAGATATTCTCTTCTACTGAGATTTGTTTGCCAAGTAGGTCTGAGCTAGCTACTGTATTTTCCATGCTTTACCCACTTGCTACTGGGTTTTAGTCTTGGCCATCTGTTTTCTCCATTAATTTTAATGAGAAAATTGGGCCATTGGGCCCTTTTATAATCAAAGGCAAATACAGTACATTAATTGACAGAACTTCCGCATTTTTACTCCACATCAAGTTAGGAGAGGCATCATGTTTTTGCCTCTCACAGTGCCTGTATCTATCTTAAAAATAGATGAGAAAAGATGAGAAGATGAAGGAAGATGAGAGAAATATCTTTAGGGAGAAGGTTTGGACTATCATCTTCGATCATTCTGCCAGGATCATTGGGGACACCTAATGATTTATTTTTATTTGCTGATTAGATTTATATCCTGCCTTTCATTCAGGAGCTCAAAACAGGGTACGTAGCGTTCCTCCTTTCATTTTCCTTCCCAGCAACCATCCTGTGACTGGCCCAAAGTCATTCAGTGAGTTCTGTGGTTGAGGGTAGATTTGAACATTACATTTCTGGCACCAGTCCCATACCATAACCACTATAACACACTGGATCTCTACAGCTACAGAATTATGGTTTTTTCTCCAAACAGTTGGAACTGTCTTCTTTTGAACCCTACCCATTAGATGGCAGCAAAAAGATACAGAAATCTATAACCCTTTGCTACCATCTAGTGGTCATGCAGATTGCTGCACCCTATATCTAGTGATTGACTATGTGCGACCACATCATTTTCGACTCCCATAGATAGATTTTCTCCATGACAATCTATTCCTAACCTGTTGTTTCAAGTTTCCCAATAGTGCACTCATCGCCACTGTAACTGAGTCTGTCCATCTTACTATGGGTTGTCCTCTTCTTCTCTTTCTTTCCACCTTTCCCTATATCTAGTAGCCCTTAGCTTTTCTCAGAGTTTACAAACAGGGATCACTGTTTAATATAATGATAACACCAGACACTCAATAATAGCTGAACCTAAGTTATTCTTCAAGCAAAATGTAGGATCTAATACTGAATGCCTTCTACAAATTGGCAAAATTTGCATGACAGCCTAAGCCAAGTTATCTATAGAATGACCTGGCTTCAGAAAAGGGGTACCCAATCTGGCCCCTGGGAGGTAATTTGATCCTCAGGTTAATAGATATTTCCCATCCTTTCTTAATGCTATGGATTAGAAAGAGTTTGAGGCTTCAGTGATGGAAAAGGTGGGAAATCCAGAGGCAAAAGCCATCCAACAAGAGTGACATTTGTTGCCGGAAGGCAGCACGAACAGTGAAGAAATGGGAAATAAGCAATAACAAAAGATGGTTAGACCACAGCTTGTCTTGTTTTTTTTATCATAGGTAGAGAAGATTGTGGGTATTATGAATTCTATTTTACCAACACACATTTTTCAGTGCCAAACTCAGATAGGGCACCAGTGCAATCTTAGTGGGATCAGAAGGCTGACTGATTTTCTCAGGATGATATTCATAAGTGTTATTCCTAAGCCCTCAATGAGAAGGAAAGTGAAAAGGAGCAGCTGAACAGAACTAAACTAAAAAGGACCATAAGAGATGGGGCGGGGGGAGAGAAAATAAAGTACAAAAATGAGTGAAGGGACATATCATCTTGCATTTGTAGTCTTACACATCTGTCTGACTCAGCAGCCTCAGCTGTTGTCTTTTCATTCCAGTAAAATTGAATCCACCATCGGCCAAGTCCATCAGCATTTCTAGATTGAAAGGTATCCTGACCTTGAAGTGGCCTGGATCTGACACTTGTCGCTCTTCACTCAAAATAAAAGAAGTCAGGATGAGACAGTCCAAGGATGTAAAGTGGACCCTGGTGAGTTGCCTGTAAACACTGGAAGGAATGGCAATGTTTGGTGGTTTCCTAAAAGCCTTAGGGTTTTCTACCTAGGCAGGCAGATTTGCTGGGTAACAATCCTAGAATTCATTGTCCAGCTTTGGTTTAAACTACCTCCTTTCAACCTGGTGCCCTTGAGATGCATTGGTAGATTGCACTTGAAGGGTTTGGGGGATTTTGAATGTTGTAGTCCTACATCTCTAGAAGGCTTCAGATTGGGGAAGGTAAGGTTGGTTGGTTGAACCATTGAGAAGTATGAATAAAAATGCACAGTAGTTAAACAAGGCTCACTAGAGCTTTGTTGAGATCAGGGGATTGCATTCATTGAAGCAATGATCACATGAATCACTCTTCTCTCTGCCTCAGAGAGACTATTGTTTGAAACTCACTACAGAGGAAATGAGAAAAAAAGGAGGCAAAGGAAGAATGCATGTTCAATTTAATCATATAGGCAGTTATGCAGCTTACATATATGTCTGTTGAGGTTGCCATCTACATGTTTTAAAACTCTCGACAGAGAGGATTGCCAGAGAATGAAATTCTGCAGCAGATCGTAGTTTTTTTCCCCATAAAAGATCACAGCATTTCCACATCCCCACCCTTTCCAACATACCCTCTTCTTGCTGCTCTCAAACAGCTGTGTGAAATGTTACCCTTATGTAAAGGCTTAGGAGCAGGAAGGTGCCTGGGTGAAACATCGCCCCATGGCCAGCTGCTCTCCAGCTGTCGCAAAATAAATCCCTCCAACTTCACCCCACTCTGGGACTTCCGCTGAGATGAGATAATTCTTCCAAATATAACGGGATCAAGAGATTATGAAGAAGAAAATACTTGGTGAATAAGGGTAGGAATGTTTAAAGAATGATGATTTGCAGTACAGTTTGGAAGGAAGCTACATTTAGCGCCTTTCTGGATGCAACACAATCACAGATGTAGCCGTTCCTAGGGTCTGCAGACATTGTGGCTATCGCTCATATGTGTGCATGCAATTTATTTATTTATTTATTCAATTTGTATGACCACCCATCTCACCAAGTGGCTTTGGGCAGCAAACAAAATTTAAAAAAAACAATTACAATAATACAAAAATTAATTTACCTCGTATTGCAATCAAGATCAAGTTTTATGATACACCACATGCTATGCACGCAGAAGTTCTAAGTCCAAAAATAGGCAAGTCCAGTAAGATTGGGAAAAGATCCTATCGGAAACTCTGGGAAAACACTTCAGAAAGCAAGAAGGGAATTTCCATTACTCTGTACTGTATTTTTCTCTGCCCCCTTTAATTTTAACACTCCTTGCTCTTTTTGATTACGTTGTTTGCAGTTCTCTTTTTCTTTATACACACATTATACAATATCTTTCTTTCATTCAATTTTTTTGTAGCAATCATGATCTTGTATTATTTTTTTTTTCTCACAGTATTTTATCCACTTTCTTGTGCCACTTAATGTCCTTTTTCATACTTCCCATTCGGATAACCCTTTACACTTCTGCTTTTTTGTACAAGATTCAGATGATATCTTCCTGTAGTTCTACAGAAAGTACATTAGGGAGGGTTATCCGGTGGGGTGGGGGAGAGGCAAATGACAAAACACACTTGGTGATGTTGCAATGTAAACTCTGCTCCTATCACACCTGCATCATGATGTTGCACTCAAGTACGTAAAGGGTGAACTCACATCATAATGTCACAATGCATATTTCATTATTTAGTTTGTACTGTGTGCCTCTGGAAGGAACGGATGCCCCCAGGGCCGGCTCTAGACATTTTGGCGCCCTAGGCAAAGTCGTATTCTGGTGCCCCCATGGTTTGGCTCATCTTCCGATTTTGTCAGGAATCTCAAAAAGGCACCCTCTTGTTTCTTTTTTTCTTTGAGTTTTTGGGCTTTACACTTATGATTATCAGCCCGACATTTTTTTTTGGTCAGACCTTTTCACCCCATTTACACAGTAAGCAATTTTAAATACATCAGTACGCATTGTTGTCATACGGCAACAATTCTGTGAAATTATATTTAGTGCTCAAGCAGGCATGCTGGCTGACAGAGTGCAGCTTTACTGCTTTTCGCTTTTTTATTGTGTTTTTCAGAAGTGGCGCCCCCTAAAATTTGGTGCCCTTAGGTTGGTGCCTATTTGGCCTTAGCTTAGAGCTGGCCTTGGATGCCCCCACCAATTTCTGCTCTGGCCTCATCCACTCCTTGCTTTAGCTCCACCCACCGTGCAATGCCCAACCAATTATGGAGGGAATGCAGACCTCAGAAGAAGAAAAATGCCCACCCCAATTTAAAGGCAAATCCCTTGGTCTTCCTTTGAACCAACAGTCAAGTTTAGGCCTGCAACATCTCCCATGGGGGTGGGGAAGGGTATTTTTGTTTTTAGCCATGTTTTTGTGGATTGTTGTAAGCCGCCTAGAGTCATTATATGAGATAGGTGGCCATATAAGTCTTGTAAATAAATAAATAAATAAATTTCTCACCCTGCTCATGTGCAAGTTACCTGATGAGTATGAACAAAAAAACCCTGGCATGGGAAACTCATTTATTAATCTTACCTGATAAAAACAACTCATGTTTCCCCTTCTGTGTATCTGAGAAGAACACATTTCTTGCCTTGGTGGGGCAGTCACCAGTCTTCTCCTCATTCTGAACATTACCTTGATTTCTTTCAGGGAAACTGTAGCTCTGAAAAGGATGACGGCACCGTGGGGAAATCAATAGGTAAGTTGATTCTGTTTCTAATTCAGATTTTTAATTCTTAAAAATCTTGTTCTTTTGAAAGTAGTTCTGACTACCAAAGATGTTCAGGTTGTTTCTGAATTCTTACTGTTTTAAAATGAGTGGAATTCACCATCAAAGAATGTGAGGACAGACACCAGTTCTAATGGCTTATTGCAGAAATTAAGCTCATGCTTTACCTGAAGGCTTCCTGGAGGACCGGAGGAGGACCGGAGGATTGTGGAGGACAGGATGTTAGACTAATAGGACCTAAAGGGTCATCTCATCCAGCAAATCAGGAATGTTCATGATCCAGCTTGATGTAAATTGTGCCAATATGTCAGTGTTGTCCAGACTTGGCCATTTTAAGATGAGTGGACTTCAACTCCCAGAATTCAACTGTAACAGCTCTCACCGGTTAGCAAGTGGGCACTACATTTTGTATCAAATATAGTTTCTTGGTAGTCTTCAAAGGCAGTCCCATGTAGACACATTTCAGTAATCTATACTAGAGGAAATGAAGGCATGAGTTATTTCTGCTCCAAGAAGCACCACAGCTGGCATGATAGCTGAAACTGTGCAAAGTCTCCCCTAGTCACAGGCTGCATCTACTTATCAAACAGTAGCCATGAGTCCAGAACTTCCAAGTCACAAATCTGTTCCTTCAGGGGAAGTGCTGCTTTGTTCAGAGGCATAATACCAGCATTAAATGTGCTGGTCCCTGTCCTGCCACTATCTTCTTTCTTCCCAATCACTGCCAATCACCTGACCTCATTCCAAGGTGACAAAGGCCTATACAAGTTGAGGCCCCTGTTGGATGCTGTCCACTTAAAGGAAAATACCCCCTTTAACACCAGTAATCTAAGGATGACTTAAACTTGCCTCACCCAAGGGCTGGGGATGAAATGAAGTCAACATTATAGAGACACGGAGAAAGAAGATGTTGCCGAGGTCTGTGTGAATCATGGAATACAACAGCTGTAAGCCATAATAGCTAAACTGAATGATATCTCTGAATCAAATGCATGTGATAGACTGGGTTGGCTGCCACCTTCATGCGTGATTAGCTAAATTCTGGGTAGTTTACAATGAAGGACGCGGGACACAAAAAGAAGTGGTTCTATAGATAACCCAGCACCACAGCCAGCCAGTAAGGGGCTACGATCTTGGTGTCTGAAGACTATTAAAGACTGATCCAGATATCCTTGCCTTTGTCTAGCTACATGTCACCTGGGAAAAAATATTCCTTATGAAGTGCAGGTTCGGCATCGAACTGTTCACTGGAGCAGTTACTGGAGCAACTGGAGCGAAATCCTCTTTGTTCCTGCTGGTAAGATTAGTGTATGTGTGTCTCTGAGTGTTTCGTTTCCCCTTCTAAGACTGGAGGGAAGAGGACACAAGGCTCAAATAAAGTGGCTCGGGGAGAGATTAGGTAAGTTTCGAGAGTCTAATAGATTCATTTTGCTTCTTCCAGAAATCCTCAGAAGTCCCACAGTGTATTATACTGTGGGTCCCCTAGGAGAGGAGGGCCAGAGGAATATGACTCTGCAATGGGAGGTAATGGGAACCCGCCATTCAGCCTTGGATTTCTGATCCAAATGAGGGGCATCTGCTTGGAATCCATCATTCAAACATCCTCTTGCTCAGACTGCTGATCCAACCTGCACTGGGTTGCCTGCATTTAAAACATTTAAAATGTTCAAAACATTAAAAATAGTACTTCTTAAGCAGAGAGAAGACAAGAAAAACATGCAGTGCAAATATTCAAGCTCCAGTCTTTAGACACGAAAGTTGTATGTTTAGGGCTGGTTGGCACACTCAGTGTGTTGAGAGCTTGTTGTTGTTGTTGGAGGGCAGACATACACATTTGCAAATAAACTCCTGGACTTCAGTCACCCGTTATTTTAATTTGCTAAGGATGTCTATAGGGCTGATGCAGGGCCCAGAGCATTCTTGTAAATAAAGCCAGAGCCTGCCATTTTATTTTACAAAGTGACAACCTTTCTTAATTTAAGAATCTAAAATAGAAAAGGATAAATGGGTCATGAGGCCTGACGCCAAGGTCTTTGTAGATCTTTTAGTGCTGTCAGGCACCCATCACCGACCCTAGATGGGATAGTGCTACCAAATGGTTTGAAACCGTAGAATGCCCAAGAGATATCTCCTTAAACAAGAATGTTTTTCAGACTGTCTTTGGCCTTTGCTTCTACATTTAGATAGAAATGGAAGCATTAGCTACTGGAAAATGCTTTCTAGTCCCCTCTTTTGTATTTTTGCAGAGACCTCCTGTGGAGCAAGGGGAGGTGAGCTATATTCTGACTTTTGTCATGCTGGCCTGCAAGCAGTGCTTAATTGGCTTGGAAAAGTCCAGCGTTACTGTGCATGGTGCAACTTCATACCAAACTGCTCTTTCTGCAGCCGAATATAACATTTCGCTGGAGGCATTTAACAAGGCGGGACATTCTCCAGCTTACTTTTTTCAGCTCCCACCAGAAAAAAATGCAGGTTGGTATACAAAGCAACCATTTTCTAATAATCTCATATTGTATGGGAATCCTCTTCCAACATCAGTCTCTCCTTTATATTTGGCATGGTATAAGTTGGGCAAAATGACCAACATAGTCAGTCCTAGGAGAATTTCTCTGGAGCATCTCTCCATCAAGTCACTTTCTGATTGCTGTTGAACTGATCAGTGGCACCAGCCTCTGCAGGAAGGATGGACCTATTTGAACAGTCTGCTCCAGGCATCTGATGGATCCAATAGGTTTCCAGAGAGCTCTTGGAGAAATTCCCAAGACCCTGATGAACCGTTCCATCAAGGCTTTAATTACCAGTTGGAACATAAGGATGATGACAACTTGGATGGACTAGCTTCTGAATGGCCTCCCTCTGTTCACCAGTCCTGGTTTATTGAGGAGCTTCAGGAAATAAAATGGCAGGAGAGGGACCTAGAATGAAACTGTCAGAAAACAAAAAGTGAATCTGACCAATCATGGGTAGGAGCTCAGGTTTAAGCATATACCGTGGCAATAACAGTGGCATATTGTAAATATATCTCCGACTTTATTCCCTTGGCAGTTTGTTGCCCCGTGGCCCTTCATTTGGGAGATTTCAGAAAAAGCAGGGCACATATCTGTCAGGGATGCTGCACTTGCAAAGCTCATTCATTGACCAGGGCTGGTCTATACCAGTGTTTCTTAACCTCAGCAACTGTAAGATGTGTGGACTTCAACTCCCAGGATTCCCCAGCCAGCACTGGTCTAGATAACCTTAATATTCATTTCCAACACTATGATTTTATAGTCCTAGATCCCAATTTTCTGAACGTGAGTCTATCTGGAAGGTATTTTACTCTGAAATGGGAAGTAGAAGAGAACTTTGATCCCTTTTGCTTTGAAGCACAGCCTCTTGGAGAAGCCTTGCCTAAGAATGACTGCATGGAACCTGATGACACTGACGTGGTGACAGGTAACTGTGGAACTTCTTTCAGAGGTCCAGACCAGGCTCTTCTAATAGAATAGCACTCTTTCCATTAGAGAAACCCTCAGAGTGGCATGGCTTGGCTTGGTAGAAGCAGCAAGATCAAGAGAAAGCAGGTCCTACAGACACTCTCTTTTGCTGTGCCTTTAATACAGTATACCCCTTCTTAACCTTATACCCTCCAGATTTGCATTTCTAGCTGGGGCTACACTTGGGTGGGGAGGGGGTTTGAAAGAGGTGTTGCTTCACTGGAGGGGATTAGGGAGTAGCTGTGCCATTCGTTTTAAACCAATAAAATGGGGACATAAAACCTAGCTGAGTTGTATGGTAAAATGACTGTTTTGCACGGTGCTTCTGTCAACTCCTCTAGGATGGCTGAATTTTGATATTTTGTCAATGGTGCCCTCTTGGAATCATAAAAAAAAAAAAGCAAGAGTGGGACATCCTGGGAACACACCACTAGTACAATGCAGGCTAAAGAAGGAAGAGGGTAGTAATTTGGTCCACCTGCTCCCTTCTCTATGCATGGGTTCCTTATATCATATTTAAATGGACTTTAGAATTCAGGATCCTCTGAAGAAGCTGTGAAGGGACTTCAGGACAGCTGGGGTGAAGGACTTGATTAGACAATATAGTCTTGATTTGTGGAGACTTCTGGGATGAAGATGTAGGGATGGTCATTGGCTTAAAAAGGGAATTAGACATATTGATGGAATGGAAAAATGGATACTATTAGCAAGAGCTAATTGAAATAGTCATTTATCGAGTCAGTCTCGCTTGATAAGAAATGCTGGAGGGAAAACAATCTGGGAAGTTTATTGACAGGAACTCCTGGAAGCATCTGGCTAACTACTGTTGGAAACATGATGCTGTGTAAGAGAAAGTTTTGATCTGATCTAGGAGGTCTCTTCTAAGGTTATGACCATAAAATCTGTGATTTTTACTCCTAAATTCCAGGGATAATGGAGCCGAACAGGTGTTACCGCTTTGCAGTGCACAGATATGACATTACAGAGAAGTGGAAAACTTTTGGACTTAGGTACCTTTTCCATAGAAATGGTGAGTATGTCACTGTGACTTTCCACCCCTGCTGGTCACATCACTCAGACATGCCAATAGCCAAAAATGATTCCTTCATACCTGAAGAAAGTAATGAAATGTTTGCCTGCCTCATTCACAGAATTTTGTAGCCCAGGTGATGTTGGCTTTCGATGATAAGTTTCTTGGGCCTCTCCGTTATTTCTTCTATCTTTGTACTTATCAGAAGAAACTCAGGGAGATAAGGGCAGAATAATTGCACTTTTTGATAATGTTAACAATTTGCCTCAAGCACCTTAAAGTTCTTAGACTCTACTCAACTTGCAATTTATCATGGCACAATCACATTCCGCCAAACCCAATCTTCCCCTTAGTCCCCCAACACTGTCCTCCTCTCATCCCCAACCCATGAGTAAAATCACCTAGTTATTATTAAATCAACTGCTTCATGTAATATATTTTCTCTTAAGCTGACACTATCATCACAGCTTCCAGATGTTTAAACTCTGTAACACTTTGTCATCCATTAGGCCCTTTCTCACCACAGTGTAAAAGTGCATTACTCCAGTCCTTGAGTTGGCAGAATAATATGCCAGCATAATTTGTGCTGCTTTGACAGCTGAGAACTAATCCACCTCAATAATAAACTTGCAAGTTACAGCTTTAGCTTGATAATGAAGCTCAAGCTCAGATACTTTGGTCACCTAATGCGAAGAGAGGACTCTTTGGAAAAGACCCTGA